TGACTAATATCTAATGCAGACAATAGGCACTTATATGCAAAAAACTCCATCGACAAAGTTATTTGATTTTTAGTGACATTTTTATTCCAGATACAAAACTTAAATATCTTTTAACATGGATATGCAATAGTCAAAGTGGGAAATGTAATCCCTAACTCTTGGCTACAGAAGTCAGGTGTGGAACATGTGTTGTTCTACTCCAAACTCCAGGTGAGTAGATTAACTCAACCCTAAGGTACTTGCACAGCTCAGAACCCAAGGAACACCTCTCTCATTTTACCTGCAACGCCAACAGTCTTCTACTCCATCTCTGGACATAAAAGGTGATAAAATCAAAAACATGACAAATATTATTTAATTGAGGAGCTGAAAAAACAAACCAACCCCAATCTTCTGCCATCACCTATTCCCCAATGGTGAGGAACACATTAGGAATGGTTACAGTGACTGTGATCAAAAACCATTAGGGTTTTGTGCTGCTTGGAGAATAGTGTTCCAGTTGAAAAATATAATGATATGTTAATTTATATGTAGAGGCACCAAAGAATCCTGTGATCCAAACAAGCCTTCTTAAAAATTAGTATGTATGCTCACGCTACACTAGGTTTCGGTTCCAATAAAATTTTGCAAGAATATAGACTCTTTCCGTTTAGAAAGCTGAAAGACTGTTATTAAATTATGTGCCCATAAACACGCACACCTCTGAACACATACTTTAGCACACAAACAAACATTATTAGAGAACACTCTAAATGAAGAGCAAGATATAGTCTGTTAATAAAATATCTTTGTGAGTTTCCAAGTCATCCAACAAAATGTCCACCCTGTTAACTCACACTTACAGAAACTGTTGTATAAAATCTTCAGAACTTGTTTATAGAGGAGGTACAACTACTTTCTTTAAAAATACCTGGACTATCAATAAAAGGACTGAAATGTACATAGAATGTAGAGACTTGGGTATGATCATTTTTTCCTCATTTTTAGCTGGAAAAGGTAGAAAAATACAGACCAAGGAAAAGCTGAGTGTTTTCACTCACATTTCCCACAGTCAGGTGCAGTGGCAAAATCCATTCCTCTGAATGTGAACCATATCATCTGATAGATGAACTAGGAAAAACAGACCTGAGTGCAGCTGCTAGTTCTCTTTCCCAGTGTCCTCCCATGACAGCCATCTTTAAACTACATCTGTATTCTGGTACCAGTCCCTAAATCTCTATTTCAATATGATGAACATGGTAACTAATAAAAAGTACTTCCACAACAATTTCTCCATCAGCAGTTATTAGATCATGCTGGACACCAAAGAGTTGAAACTAGGTTATCAATGTACAAGCTTAACATTTAGTCAATCAGACTGCTTGGGTTGAATTTACATTTTCTAGTTGCATGAAGCAAGCATTTTTTTCCCCTAAAGGGCAGAGATGAACTAGATATTACTGCAGCATACAGAAACATCAACAAAGAAAGCCCAAGACAATACATGGCAACAGTACAGCAATACTTCTTAATTTTCTTCTAGAAAGAGAACAAGGTTTTAGTGCCAAATTGATAGCTATAATTTGATATATCCATCTTCTCTGTGTCATTTAAATGTTACATCACCCAAAAAGTCCTGTTGACTTTGTTTAATTTCAAAGATAGCAGTAGGGACCACAGAAAACAGTTTAAGATTACTGTAAAGTCATGAGTTTCTACTGTCATCCTAACTGATTCAACTTCCTTACTGGGATCCCCAAGAATCTCCTTGTCACAGATGTGCTTTCCCCTTTGCCTACATTATAGGATGCAAACATCAAGACTAAACTGTAATTAAGAATGAGCTCTAGTTCTGTACTTTAAAGATCATATACCTTTAACAAATGATTATTATTAGAGATATATGAACTGATCTGAATAAAATAGCAACCAACACTAAGAACTGCCCACACTTAAATAAAATTTAACTATTTTCCATCTTGAAATAAGTCAGGTTAACAGTTTTTAGAAGGTATTTTTCATTCAATGACAGCATTTCCTGGATTTGGTTATTTTAATCTTTACTGTAAAATAGTGATGTGCCTATCTTTACATCAGCACCTTCGCACTGGTAAACAGACTTTTGGATGCTTTTCTGGATCATCTGGATTTTTTGAGGTTTGTTTGTTTGTGATTTATTTTTGTTGGAGACACTTCCAGAACTCAGATTACATTTAAAAGGAGTAAAAAAAATTAGGAAGACCAAAAAGACATCTGTATTTAATTTTTGAAGTTGCACACACTACATTCAAGGATTAAAACTTTATCTTACTCCCAGGAACTTTATATCTGAATAAAAAAGTACTGCAGTCATGACCGTACATATATATGGAAGCCCTTCAGATTCAAGACACCTGTCTGCATCTTTAGTCTTGAGCGAACTTCGGAACTTATAATTAAATAACTCACTTCAAAAGGAAGGTTGTCAGTCAAAGATACTGCCTCGGGGAGGAGGGAGCATATTTAAAATTTAACTTGTCAATCTTCAGTGAGAGTGCAAAAGACCCTACTGTGTGCAAAAATGAAGCATTTAATGGAAAAGTTTTTTCAAAATTATGAGCTAAAAGTTAGACTCCTACTTCTATATTTAGCATCTAAGGAAGAGACCTGGATTTCAAAAGTGATCCCCCAACATTTTGCATAAAAGACAACTGGAGCTTGCTTCTACAGTTACTGTTTTATCATATGACTATGATGACAACAACACATAAATTAAATATGGCTGCTAGACAACTGTACAGAGAATTTAATGGAAAAGTAAACTCCTGAAATGTGGTTTGTTGTTGACTCCACAGTTATCTCTTGAGTTTAGCTGTTTCTGGATGGGAACTACCTCACCTTCTACAAATTCTTTCCTCTGTATCTCTGATAAATAATGTAGAGATTCTTCTTCTCAACCAGCAGGCTGGTTACAATACCAAATATTAAAGGAATGTACTAGTACCTTTAAGCCCCTGGTGCTAAAAGCAATGGTCATAGCTACAGTTCTGGAGGCTTACTGCAACTCAAGCTCAAACCTCTGGAGGTTTACTCATTAATACAAACACATACATTTAAGGTCGAAAGTTATATTTTGAATAGAAATTTAAATAAAAACTATATATATGGATGGATATATATATATATATATATATATATATATATATATGTATAGTCAAACTGAACCATCACAACTGCATTTTATGGCTACAGCTAAGTTAACAGGAAACAAAACATGATGACACTGAGGGTCAGATTCTGAGCTGAACCTATCTAACTTCACTGAAATTATTCCAGGGCTACACCAATGTAAATTAGACCATAATCTGGGATTGACTCTTGACTTCAACACAGAATTAATTTTAGAACATTACAAAATATTTAGAAGACAGCTATAAGACTCAAATTGCTTTCAAATGGAACATGCACATTTTCAAAAAAATTAAGAATGACTAAAATAATGGTAGGGGACACTATACATTTAATGGCCTCTAAAACGAATGGCATCAATGGAATTAAATGACATCAAATGCAAAATGATACAAATAAACTGAAATTTTTATCACGTACAGCCTGTTATGAGACTACTTAGAAACAACAACCTTTCAGAAAGATATCTCCAGCAAATCTACATGGAAACACAGGGTCAGAGTCTCCCATTCCATCATTTGTTGTCAGTGCTACCATTTTGGTTTGGCAGGGTTTTATATCCTCTTTGAACAGATAAAAATGATGACATAGGTGCAAGGCAGTGGAGTATTGGGGCAATATATGATACCTTTTTGTAATTCATCTAGTGCTCGGTTTTAGCCCATCATGAGAACTATTTATTTATATTCTAGGAATTGTACAGTATTTAATAGATTGTTTCAACCTGGTAATAGTTACTTTAAGCCATGTTAAATGACAAAAAAAGTGATAATAAAATAATGGCAGTCCCTTCTCTTTCTAATATTGTTAGTAAAAGTAAAAGGGATTAAGAAGGACTGGTAGGAACGTTATTTGAAAAGACAGACAATATAGGAATTGTTAAAAGCAGAGCCTATAAGCTTATTCCATTGATTGCATGACTGAAATGAAATTCTTTTGTATTAAAAAAAGCAAAACTGCTATGTCCTGTGTGACTAACAAACACATCTGTAAGTGCTTGCTGTGTCTATACCACAACACTTGTTCACAGGTTTGCTTGTGTGATGTCTACAGAAGATGTAGCAGTTATTGTTTTCTCTTGCAATAACTCCACACAGTAACATTTTAGCAGGGAAAGGAAAGATGTCAGGGTAAATCAAAAGAAAGGAGCAGTTAAGGGAATGGAATTTTGATATCTAAAATCTGAATAGTGTCCTTATAAGAAAATGATTAGTTATGCTACATTAGACTGAGTCTCATTGGTGTTAATGATGTCTGTATGAAATCTACTTGTCCTGTTCCTGTTAACACAGGATATTTACATATTATCAAGAACTTTGTTGATACTTTGAACACACTCATTTTATCGACAGAATAGATTAACTTGATTCATTTTGTTCCCATAATGAAATGTAATGATTTTTTTTTAAAAAGTGTGCTTGGATCACAAAAGAAGTGCTTGACAAAAAGTATTTCATTTGCTAACTGAAATACAATATTTAGCAATAAGTGCATTTCCGATCGAAAGGTGTAAATAATCAACAGAAACGTATATGAATGATGGATAGCTTTAAAGGGAGCTAACTGGACCGAGCTTATTTCTCCCTCTCTCCAATGTGCAATGTTCATACAGGACTTTGGTCATATGACAGTGCCACTGAAATTCATGGGACTACTTGCGTAAGTAACGTGAGCAGGATTTGGCCTACAGTTCATGAGGTACAATAAATTAAAATGTATCATACATATTTTTTTAATTCTGTAATAGTAATGTATTATAGATTTAAATGTGTTCTCCATAGCTCTTCTGGGAGCAAATCTTAGTATGCATTAAACATCACAATTCAAGACTGGTCAGATGACAGCCAGAATACCTGGGTTTGGGAATAGATTCTGGTTTCTTGGCTCTGCGAGAGAGTACGCTGAGCGTGCCATGACCCAGAATGATGGGTAGGTGAAAATCCTCTGTCCTCAGCCACTCTGAAGCCTGGGGCCGCCCGCTGCCATAAATCAATCAATCAATTATTTAATCAGGTAGCTGCATTTTCACAGTGATATAGAAATGGGCTCTAGATAATGTCTTCTCTATAAAGCTATTGCCGTTTTAATTAAATTATAGACAGATATAGGTTACCTTATACCAGTTCATTTTAAAAGCCTGACATTCACCTCAGTGAAAATGCTTTCCCCCAGCCCACTGATGCTCCAACTATAGGCCCGATCCAGCAAAATGCATGTATATGCTCATGAATAATTTTAAGCATCTATGTAGTCCTATCAAACAGTACTTTTGATGGGAATATTTATGTGCTGGTTGGGGCTTAAGTCTTTAATGTGGTGCTTAAGTGATACAAAGGCCCTGGCACTGGAGAGAATTTCATCTAAAGAGAATACATCTCTCAAGGACGTAGGCGTTATCATTTGGATTTTCTTCCAATTAGGCCATAGCCAATGTTCCAGTGTACATCACGGCGTAATGCATTTAATATGTCAAAAGGGCAATAGATTTATTTTACTTAGAAAAGAATGTCAGATTTTAAAACCAGTTGCCAGGAATTTTGCAGTATCTCTCTGGCAATATTCAAAGAACTTTTAGCAGTTTACAGCTGCATTATTCTGAAAGTCACATGAAAAGAGACTCCTCTTTTAGATCCTGCCTGGCTTAACTGTTTGATTAGGCTTCAGGCAATTTTTTAAGTCTTGTTCAGCCAATGACAGACAAGGCCAATCTTCAGAGTGTCTATTTAGGCTTCATTAAATGTCTGTCACAATATTCTCCCTATTGTGTGATAGCACAGTATGTGGTGAAGGACAACTGCCTTCAGTAACCTCTTTGCTTTCAAATGGATATGATGTCTGTAATTTTATTGTTAAATTGAGTGATAGGGACAAACATTGGTATTATCCTGTGCAACACAGAAATCCACAATAATGAATGAAAAACTATAATTTCTAAGACTTTATTGTGATTTCCCACTTATATCCTGAAAGACATATTACATATGAATAAAAAAGATACAGTGTAAAGACATTGTGCTGGAGCCTAAATGATTGGGTAAAATAATGCAATTCATAGAAAATATTCTCTTCATGACAGTTTCTCCAGTTCTTTAGTATCATAAACACTTAATGCAACTTGAAGCTTGTTTTTAGCAAGTAAATTATGGTTCAGGTTGGATTATTTAGTTTCTTTCTACATGTACTTTTTGTCTAAAGATTTAAGATAATTTTTATTTGCTAACTTCATGAAAATTCTCAAGCTGCTCTTATTTAAGAGTAGTTGGTTATTTGCTTGAAAACTGAAGATGAAGAAAAAAATCTGAGCCGCAACAAATGAGAATTTGCTCCTTCCCGGATGTAGCTATATTTTCAAAGGTATCCCCTAATTTTTCGATGCCCACCTTGACACACTTAATGCCTTGGTTTTCAGAAGTGCCAAGCAACTGTGTCCAGTAATTTCAATCAACTGAAGTTGTGAGCACTCAGCACTTCTAAAAATCAGGCCTTAGGTGACTCAGGTGGAGCACCGAAAAATGGAAGCAACCAAAATTAGTAGCCATTTTTGAAAATGTAGGCCTTACTACATAGAACAGAGAACAATGGAAATGCCTAAACTTCTGAGTCATTTTTGGAGACATGTTTTCTTCACTTGATGGTCAACTACAGTGAGAATTTAATTAATCTTTAATTAATAAAAATGTGATCCCTGAAAACATCTTTTCTATGGGATTAACTAGTGCTGTCCTCATCTTTAAATATACTTTTCAGTCTGGGGTTCAATCTGAGTCACTCACTCCGCTGGGTTACTGAGGCTTTGTTTCCTTTCCCATGGCACACTGTCTTGGTGCAAGTTCTTTTTCAGGTGGTTTTCCCAAGGAGGAAATGAAAGGGTTATGGGTGGGAGGACCAGAAGAGAATTAATCTTTCTGGTAGAAACTGGAGTCCTACAGAAAGTTCTTTAGGAAAGAGAGCACAATTTAAATCTTTCTGCATCACACCCTCTTTCCCTTGTTGTGCTGACAGTTGATGGCTTGCTCTGCCCCCCATTTTCTAAGAAAGTATCAAATTCAGAGACAACAGGAGAAGCTGAGAATCAGGCAACTGGAGCAAAACAGCCCAGTAGTGGCTTTTTGTAGAACAGTAGCAGTTGCCCGTTGATGTTAGGGAGAATAGAACTCTCACACAGGGCATCGAGGAAGGGAACCCTTTCACCCCAAGACTAAGATCATCATTTCATCTTGGTTTTGATGGCTTTCTCTTTTTTGAATTGTAACAGCTGGAGAGAATTTTGGATAAAATGTTCTTGTCAGGCTTCGTTAAGATAGTGCTGGAGAGTGAAGTCCTACAAGTGTATCAGGGGAGGCAACAGTGGATCCCAACCATGTGTCTGAACTCTGACTTGAAATTGACTCTTCGTACCCTTTCCATTCTGGGCTGTCCTGGTAAGCCTGCTAACCATTCTGCTGTGTCCCTTTAAAGTTACCATACAGCTGCTGTTGAGCGGAGAAGCCAGCACAGTGGTTAGAATCAGTCAGTGTAGTGCACAAACTGTTACAGACTCTGCTAGTGCAGTGCACAAGCTAGTATACTGTGTGCGCACCTGGTTTTATTTCCCACAGCACGATACCCCATCCACAGAGATGCCAAATAGTGACAGTCGTGTATGCAAGAGGTTTTTTTAGCCTGAGACCACTAATTAACTTCCCACAGAAAATCAAACCACTGCCAGGTAGTGACAAGTTTGAAATCTAGCCCAGGTCAACAGAGAACCATCTCCCATCTTGAACTGAGAGGCTCAATTTCTCTCTACCCACCCTCTGAGCCAACCAGGTTTGCTATCTTAGCATTCTGTTTAAACAACCAAAGGCTATTTGAGAAGAAAATCCAGACAATTCCATGCAAGGTGAAGCTCTTCCTATATTAGAACTAATAAGTACGTATTATGGGCCTGATCCAACAAAAGACATTCCCAGCTTTCCAGATATTAAATGCCCTTCAAAAATCCTCAGATGCCAGCTCCGCTACAGACTGGCCTAATCCACAGTAAAGGCCAGAAAGAAAAAATCCTGCCTTGAGGCCTGATCCAAGGGCGCATTAAACTCAATACATGTTTTCCATTGATGTCAATGTGCACTGAATCAGGCCCTTGTGAAGAAGCTCATGGGAAGGAGAGCTCATACAAACAAGGTGCTAGCTGTCTGAGCTCCATTGCACTCACTGGGGATACACAGTCCATGGGCTAGATCAGTGGTTCTCAAAGCCGGTCCACCGCTTGTTCAGGGAAAGCCCCTGGTGGGCTGGGCCGGTTTGTTTACCTGCTGTGTCCGCAGGTTCACTGGCCGCGGTTCGCCGCTCCAGGCCCATGGGGGCTGCGGGAAGGGCGGCCAGCACATCCCTCGGCCCGCACCGTTTGCCGCAGTCCCATTGGCCTGGAGCGGTGAATCGCAGCCATTGGGAGCCGTGATCGGCCGAACCTGCAGACGCGGCAGGTAAACAAACTGGCCCGGCCCACCAGGGGCTTTCCCTGAACAAGCGGCGGACCGGCTTTGAGAACCACTGGGCTAGATTACCTTTTCTGCAAAGCCCCAAGAAATGACATGAACAGGTTAAAGTCTGGGTCTGTGTATGCATGAACGTCCTTGCCTTCTCTCACAGAAGTGCTCTTTCCCCCTGTCTCCGTTGTGGCTTATTTTACCCCTAAATAATTTTCTTTGTCCCATCCATTCCTTCTCATGGAATGTTTTTACTTCTGTACCTATTAGTACTATAGCCTTGGTTAAAACCAAAGTGCTTGCTTCAGCCCTGTTGGAGGCTGCAGTCTACATCCCCACACATATGTTAGAAGAAGATGTGCTACGGAGGAGGCAAGTGACAATATCAGGCTTCCACTAGCTGGAAGGAGCTTCAGTTTACAGCCAGGAGTCTAGAAGCCTCACTGGTAGAGGCTGCCTGAGAGAGACACTGGATCAGTACATCTCCTGCATGCCCTTGCTGTGCACCTTCCTGAGCCAGCCCCTACACACTTCTTGGGTAGCACTGGCTGGCTCCTGGCCCCCCAACAGAGTGGAAGTTATGGGCAGCTTATGCTTAACATTATGCTTAACATTATGCTCCCCACTGCTGGCTGGACTTTCTGTCACTGGGCACTTGCAATTTGGGTTCTGCCACAGGTAGTGAATAAAGCCCATCGTGCTAAGCAGAACTACAAAAATGTAATAAGCTTTCACGTTTTTTCCCAACATGAACAAATCTGTGGGCCAAATATATTGGCTACTTTTATACCAACAACAGTGACAAATCAATATTCTGGTTACTTCAGTAATGCAAATGATAATACATCTATTCATGTTATTCTTTCCCCTGTTTAGTATAGTGTCAACAAGTGCTGCTCTAAAACTATATCAAACTTTGGACGTACTGTCCCTCAAGCAGCAAGACAAATACTGCTGCAGTTCCTTAAAGTTAATGTTAGGCTTGTAACTGGCCCAAGTCATAAAACAGAATCATGCTTCTATTCCAGCCTCTCTTATATGCTAGTGATTACTTGAGCATAATGAGATAGATATTTTTAGGGCATACTAATGAATTTCAGACACCTGCACAATTGGATTTAGCTGCAGTGTGGGAAAAATTCCTGCCAGTGTGTGAAAGCACAAAGTGCTGACCATATTGCACAGCCAGCTGAAGCTGTATTCATTCATTACTGCCAATACAGATGCTTTAGTGGGAGAAAGTAATTGCATTGACTATTTAAACCCATATTGCATGACAAATATTATTGCTTATGTAATAGAGATCTTAGGAACGCTCTTGTTTTATATAACTTTTTTTTTAAATTTTGTGAAAGAACGGAAGTGCCATAGGCAGCAAGCCCAAAATTCAGCTAAGTATTCAATGTACTAATGTGAAGGAAGCAAAGGAAGTAGCTCCTTTCGCAAAGTGTTTTTCTTGATTCATTCTATATAAAAATCATTCCTTATATTGTGTACTAACTTTATAAACATTAAAAAATACATCCCCATCTGTTTATGTACAGTAACATTTTTAGTTAAGTTAATGCTTAGAAGCATTTGGTTAAAAGAAATGATATTTGCTGTACTAAATTATTATACAATGTTTGGTAGCAGGTTGTAGAGACATAAGAAGACTAAAGAGTTATTTTGTTCAATTAGCTCAGTGCTTGGGAAAGGTATTAGATTAACTGCCTGGGAGACTGACCTCCATTTTACCCTGCCAGGGTTAGCTCATGAAGGGATTAACAAAATGAATCCTGCAAAATAGTTCAAAGGTTAAGAAACTAGCCAGCCCCTGCAAGCACAACAAACTTTACCCCCAAAGGGGCATCTCTCCACACCATGCAGAGAATCGCTTCATTCCCAGCACATCCCAGATGTGCTGTTTTCTAAGAGGAACCCTACCCTCGCTGCTGTTCACTCCCACCTCTCAAACTAGGCCTATTTGCCAACCTTCCTCAAACAGGAGCTCAGGTGTACAAAACAATAAAATTTCAAACCCAAGACTCAACGTGAGCAGACTGAGGCAAAGATTTCACACTGCTCGATTCTTTTCAGCTACACAATACAGCACAAGCAATGGCACTGTGAGCATCTTCAGAGTCCACCATTAATATGCCTCACCCTTGACTGGGAGTGGAATTAAATGCTTGGTCTCTTTGCTTAGACTACAAAGAAAGGTGCCAATTAGAGGCAACTGCGGTGGTAATTTTTGGGATGTGAAATTGTGAGTACTAGGAAGCGGTCTGAGATTGCCACTGAATATACGTGTACACACATACACACACCACATTTACACGCACACTTGAATGTGTGTCCATTTACAAGCATTCTGTGATAGGAGCTTGCTGTACCATCACCTATCATTTATACATGTAAGAAGTTTATTTTTAAATAGTTAATTTTAAACGTGTTGTTCATAGTAATAGTACTATAATTTACACAAAAGAGGAGGCTGGCAGCCTTATGAGAATGATAATGGGAGCCACTGCTTTCACCTCTAGATTGCCTCTGAATCAAGCTCGTGTTGCTAGTGCATGAAAGCTGCCAATTTGATGGATGTGAAATAAACAGGTCTCTATCCAGTTCCAGGGGTACCAATGTCCATATCATAAAAGCATCACCACTGAAGGAACCGGCATTGGTGGGCTCAGCAGAGAGGCCAGGAATTGAATGAGGTGGGACTCTCACACTCACCCCGATGGTTGTCTCTCCAGGATAGGATTGAGATGCACTGATAGGAAAGGCTGAGGAGAGGCAGCTTGCACCACTGCTGACCATGCTGTACAGGTTCTGTGAACAGAGGACTTCACTCTCCAGGACTGTCAACTCCAGCACTTTTAATAAGAACTAAAATTTATTTAAAAAAAAACTCCCCCAAACAATAACAACCAAAAAAATACGTGCTTTATGGGCCATTTCTATTTAAGGAGTTAAAATTAGACATGGGAACTTCAAAAAACACCAGATCTGAACCTCCTAAACTTTGGGCGGTTGGGATTCAGACTTCAAAGTTTGAGCCCATTAACAGATCAAATAAAGTATTTTGGTCCCACGTTCCTTCAGCCCCCAAAGTGGGTAACTGTACTGAAGATCTAAAATCTGAAGAAAATCTTACCTTCTTGTAGAGACTTCTCAGGTCTCTGTACTGCCACATGCTATTTAGGACCTGAGATGCTGCTTTCACCACTTTTGGTGAGTGCCTATTACATTAAAAAAAAGAGAGAGAGAGAGACTGTTAAATCCCAGGCTCAATTAATGATGATTTGTGAGTCAATTACAAAGGACTGAAACTCTCAAGTGGAATTCTGCTATTCACCAGTTTTATCTGTATACTCTAAGAGCTTTACATTCAAGTAGTTTGGATAGTAACATTTTATTGACTGACAAACACACTCTTCATGTCCATATTACTAAGTGTCAGAAGAGGAACAAAACCAATACACACTTGTGCTGTACAGTGAATGAGAAGCAAGGGTTCACATTGGGAACATGAGAACAAGAGAATTCTGTCAAGATGGAGAGTAACTGCTGAACTGGCTAACTGATAGTGTGGGCAGTGGGGAAGGTAGAGAGAGAGAAAGCTGCAGAGGGCAAAACTTGGACAAATTGTTTCTAGAGAGATGGCTTGGCTGCAGCCCTGTGGGCAGTGTCATGAAAGACAAGAGTACAGGGCTTTGGTTTCTTTCTCCTGGGCTGGTAGACTTTAAGCACTTCAAGGAACAGATGAGTGAGTACTTACTGCACCAGTGCCTTCTACTAGATGGTCAGAGGAAACAGAGGAACTAGCCAGGTGATGAGCACTGTTTTAAGATGGGAGGGGGTTGGGGGCAGGACACAGAAATATAATAGATCATAAATACACAGAATGATCAATGCTTTGTGACTAAATAAAATTCATCTGGAACCCAAATTTGAATTTATGTTCTGAAACACTGACAACAGTAACCTATTAATGACTGCACTCTAAACCTATATAAAAAGACAAAAATAACTTCACATGGACTCCTCCTTCTGGAGTCTTTCCCCAGGAGATCTGAATAATTATTTCAGAGAATTAGAGCCAAATGTTCCCTTTTGTTTAGGTAGTACAAGAGAGAGCAGATGTCTTAAACCCAATGAGACGGGCCAGGGAGGACAACATAGGATAAATATGTGACTATGCAGAAAGTCCACATCTTGTGACTAACCTCATCCCCTCAGCAAACATAAAGCAGCAGAGCTCCAAGAAAAAATTACAAGGGATTAGAGCCTGCCTGAAGAAGTTGGGGAACAGTCACACTTGTGCTTGGTGTTTCCCTGTGAAAAGGGCACAACTGGTGGCGAAAAAGAAGCACATGGTGCTGGTGTTCATAGAATCATAGAATATCAGGGTTGGAAGGGACCGCAGGAGGTCATCTAGTCCAACCCCCTGCTCAAAGCAGGACCAATCCCCAATTAAATCATCCCAGCCAGGGCTTTGTCAAGCCTGACCTTAAAAACTTCTAAGGAAGGAGAGTCTACCACCTCCCTAGGTAACGCATTCCAGTGTTTCACCACCCTCCTAGTGAAATAGTTTTTCCTAATATCCAACCTAAACCTCCCCCACTGCAACTTGAGACCATTACTCCTTGTCCTGTCCTCTTCTACCACTGAGAATAGTCTAGAACCATCCTCTCTGGAACCACCTCTCAGGTAGTTGAAAGCAGCTATCAAATCCCCCCTCATTCTTCTCTTCTGCAGACTAAACAATCCCAGTTCCCTCAGCCTCTCCTCATAAGTCATGTGTTCCAGACCCCTAATCATTTTTGTTGCCCTCCGCTGGACTCTCTCCAATTTATCCACATCCTTCTTGTAGTGTGGGGCCCAAAACTGGACACAGTACTCCAGATGAGGCCTCACCAATGTCGAATAGAGGGGGACGATCACGTCCCTCGATCTGCTCGCTATGCCCCTATTTATACATCCCAAAATGCCATTGGCCTTCTTGGCAACAAGGCACACTGCTGACTCATATCCAGCTCGTCCACTGTAACCCCTAGGTCCTTTTCCGCAGAACTGCTGCCTAGCCATTCGGCCCCTAGTCTGTAGCTGTGCATTGGGTTCTTCCGTCCTAAGTGCAGGACCCTGCACTTATCCTTATTGAACCTCATCAGATTTCTTTTGGCCCAATCCTCCAATTTGTCTAGGTCCCTCTGTATCCTATCCCTGCCCTCCAGCGTATCTACCACTCCTCCCAGTTTAGTGTCATCCGCAAATTTGCTGAGAGTGCAATCCACACCATCCTCCAGATCATTTATGAAGATATTGAACAAAACCGTCCCCAGGACCGACCCCTGGGACACTCCACTTGACAGCATGTATTACTCCACTTGTTGGCAGCATGTATTACTCATCTGGTTCCAGTGTGGGCAGTGGTAACTGAGAAGGGTCACAATTGCATTGCCAGCAGAGCTGGTAAGATAATGTTAATCACGTAATTTATTCAGTTGTTTTCCACAATATTTTCCTAGTAAATTATTTGTTGATTCTGCCCATCTCTATTATTCATCCTGCAAATAGAACTGGGTGATTAGTTCATGAGTTGATAGGGATTTGATGAACACTTTCACACATCATTGTTTTCATTATTTACCCATCTTTAGCTGCTAGTGGGGTACGGGGAGTAGGGAATGACCAGTGTGGTAACAGTGCCAATCATGCTGTTAATACCAAGGGGAGGCCAAGAGCAGTGAGATCCACTGAATTTGGCCAATCTGATCCCATGGATGCCAATTCTGCTACACAACTGTAGAGAAGAGAGGACTAGGGCTGTGGGCTCTTTAAAGAGATTAGAGCAGATAGTCCTTGTACCACTGTGATTGTGTCCTACCCCTGTGCAGGAAGCATGGGATGGGAGGAAAAGGGAAGGACCTTCATGTCCTCTTCTTCAGTTGTGGACCCACAAAGGAGCCAGGTGCACTCTGGCTCCATATTTGGAGGACCACATGCTGCATACAATGTAAGATGCATTAATATTTAAGTTCTGTATTGAAGTACACTGACTATGGCAAAAATTCCCCATCAGTCCAGTATAGTGCAATTTTGTGGGTTCCAGTTCTTTGAAGAGCATCTGGATGAAGGGAATAGAATAGTGTAACAGATGACAAATTGAAATCTATCCATTAAAATCTCTATAAATCCTATTATAGGTAGTGTTGTTGTAGTTGTGTTGGCCCCAGGATATTGAAGAGACAAGGTGGATGAGATATCTTTTATTGGACCAAGTACTGTCTCCAGACCTGAAGAAAAGCTCTGTGTAAGTCTGAAAGCTTGTCTCTCTCACCAGCAGAAGTTGGTCCAATAAAATATATTACCTCATCTACCATGTCTCTATAAATTCTATTGTAACAACTTTTAGGGTTAAAGAGTTTTTGACTTGCCTTCTCATGAAACAGAGTTTTTGATCCACTGGATTAAAGCTTTGGTGACTTCGGTTGGAAGCAGACACAGTGCATATTGATTTTTTTTAATATGACGGTGATTATACTAGAAGCAACAATAAATGGTTCTTCTGAGGCTAGTAACAGTTGGTCTTGTTAACAGATTTCATACTTTATAATTTAACACAATGTTGCACTCTGTTAAACTGTGCAACTTCACTAATTTAAGTAACAGGTTGGCAAGATAGTCTTTCTACAATTATTATTTGAAATAATGGAACCTCCATGAAAGAAATGAAAAAGATAGAAGGAATGGGAAAAAAGTCTCATGTCTCTGAAAGATGAGTTTAAACTCCTGTTTTAGGTGAGGAGCTGGTATCATGTGCTGATAGATTTTCTTGTTCTACCACTACAAAATCAATAAAAATAATCATATCTAGCTCTTATACAATGCTTTTCATCAGTAGGTCTAAAAACACTTTATAGAGGGCACTACAATTATTATTTGGGCATTCTGAAAACATATATTAGCTGACATGTCCTAGACTATTAGAAATATATGGCTTTCAAAAGGTTAGGTTCATTGGATTTGCAGTTAGGGGTTATATTTGACAGGTTTCAGAGGAACAGCCGTGTTAGTCTGTATTCGCAAAAAGAAAAGGAGTACTTGTGGCACCTTAGAGACTAACCAATTTATTTGAGCATGAGCTTTCGTGAGCTACAGCTCACTTCAGGCTGACATTTTCAAGACCCTAACAGGAGACCCAAATCCCATTTAAATCAATGGGAGTTGGGTGGCTAATTCTCTTAGGCTCTTTTGAAAACTCCAGCCCCAATGTCACTAGGTAATAATGATCTCTGTTGGAGGAGTATACAGGTGGACAAATACACAGTTTCTGTAGATTTTCTTAAGTTTTATTAATGTAGAAGGATAAACTTGGAGTCAAATTCCCCGGTGGTGTCAGTGGGCACATTCTACTGAAGAAAAATGGAGATGCACCTGCTTATGCCAGCAGTTAATTTGATCTAGTAACAACAATTAATTTAGTTTAATATGTAATTTATTTATAATCAAAATTGTAATATGTTTTATTCCTAAGGTGAGTCAGCAGTACAAGGGCAGTTCCCACAACTGGAATCACCACAATTGGTAATGCTGCTACTCTTCTCAATTCCTGACAGAGTTATAATAATGAAAGTGTACTGGGTGAGAAGCATGAAAGGAGAGAGAATAATAATAGAAGAAAAGGGAATAAGATTGAATTGTGTCAGCTATGCATTAATTGCCTAGCCCAGCACACTGCTCCAGTACCAGGTTGAGTGGGTGGATTCCTCTTTCAGGCTGAAGATTGGCTGTAAGGAACCACATTAGAGCCACGAGGCTGCAGCTGCCTCTGTGCTGATAACATATCCCCCTTCTGAAAGAAGGATCTATGCATTAGAGTGAAATCTTCCATTTTTCAAACTGACATGGTCCCACAGAAGGCAAAGCAACCATACCTCTGGAAATTTGATGTATATTGTTTGTAACCAAGCTATTCTAGGCAACCACTCCCAGCAAAAGGAGAGGATCCAATGATCGCTTTGTCAACAGTGTGCACTGACTCAGAAAAAAAAAGATGCATTCATAGCTGTTGCTAAGAGCATCATAGTTAGGTGTGAGTCTTCTCCTACATGTATCGGTGCCATTTAATGTAGCAGACAGAAGGCCTGATACTTCTTAACAAACTAGGGAGTGGGAACAGGGGTGAGGAAGTGGAAAGAGCTGTGGCCCCATCCCCCACTTGCCAGCCAAAATAACTGTTGTATGGTGGGGAGTAAGCTGCAGCATGCACAGTGGTGAAGTTACTTACTTCTGGCATTCCCAAAGCAAGTGGGAGTAGGAGAAGAATAGTACCTTTGTGAGGCATAAATCCTTTCACAGTGTCCTCCTGGTTATTCCCATGGCACATCGCCCATTACACAGGGGCCTAATGTCTCAGGCTATCGCCTGATGGTGATAAAATGTTTCATGCCAGTCATTATTATAAATAATTATTATTCATGATGCTGCACATTGCCAGTGAAAGCAGGCCAAAAAATGAGCCCTGGCAGGGACTTTGATACTGGGTTACTTGTTTCCTGTCTCCCTTCCAACATCTGACACGGTTACGAACACAAGTGATTTATGATTAAACTTAATAATGAAGCTAATGATTTCACCAGACAAGACAAACCTATTTAGTACTAATTACACCTATTAAAGATGTTACAAAAGGTGTGAGGTGATTTGCAAAACATACTTGTCTCCTTTACTCTTGGAAATGCCAACCAGCTTCTCAATGCCTCCTGCATCCCGTAAGGCCTTGGCATTCTCCATGTTTTTAGTGATGACTTCATGCAGAGTGCAGCAAATGGCAGTAACGGTGTCATCCGACATGGCCTTGCTTGCTGAGCTGTTGCTGTTGTTACCTCCTGGAAGTCGGTGGACCAGGTCCCGCATGGCATACTTGCCTTTTTGGAAAGAAAATGAAGGGAGATTGTTGAGGAACTTTAAAGGAATAATGATGGGGGAGATACAGGGAAAATACACAAGGCAGTGCTAGTGCCATTTTCATAATTTCAGGTCTATAATTTGCTGTCAGTATCATCTTGTCATTAGCCGTAATTATACAAACATATGTTTAAGCAGCATTTTGCCCATTAGGACCTCTACTAATAGTCCCTGGTAATATCAGTGAGAGCTTCAGGGTGTGAGTTATATCCTGTCTTTGTGCAAAGGAGACAGGTACAGTAAAGCTAAGTACGTATGAAAGTGTAAATCAAAGATTTGAGAGCCCAGCAGAAGCTGGCCAGACCATATCTTCCTTACCCCATTATAGCAACACCATTTAAGTGAGCCCAAGGCAAACTGGCTGGGATGATGCATCACTACTAATAAAATCATCACTGTGTAGCAGTTGATAGGGATAGTATAAAGGTACTGAAGCCATCCAAATTGGCGTTTTTTGTGAATGAGTAGCAGGCTTCACTATACATTAACTGGGTGTAATGATGTTATTGTACTTTATAATATGCTTTAAAAAGCTATTGTTATTTCTATGTAGTTTGAGTTGTATGAATATTAGTGCTTCGGAGGTGAGGTTTCTCTGCACTGTGTTGCAGTCTGATATCTAGCAAAGGATTATCTTACTCAACATTTATAACTTAAATCTTCTATCAAACTGAGCAGTGCATTTTTGTAGAGGAGTTTGTATGTTAGACACAAGGAAGACATAGTCATTGTGATTCTCCATTATAATTTTTTTCCTATTTAAATACATATAGAAATCTTTTAAAAGTTGCTTGTATGAATGTAGTGAGTGGGAAAGATACCACGCCAGCAGTCCTGGAGAAGGAAATTTTACATCTAACTACTGGACAAGTACAACACAGGCAGCAGAACTTCCCCACACTGCCACATCAAACTGCCTTAGCCCTGTTCTGGAGGGATCACTAGTGTGGGTGCAAGTTTAATATAGGCGCTCGTCTAAGATGAAGACAGGCTGAACAGTGAAGAGACTAGGGCCCACATACAACTCTCAGTGAAGTCAGTGAACACATTCCCATCAACTTCAGTGGCGCTGGATCAGGATCTTGGGTGAAATAATCAGCTCAACACCATCACTCACTCTCAAGATGGGAATGACCTGATTGTCAGGACAAGTAACTGGAAGTAATCCATATTACTTTCTGGCCTGAAATGTAATGAGAGATCTTCTCAATCAGATATTACAAGCCCTGATAAGATGGCATATAGTAAGTGCTTGTTAAAAAGCTTACTCCTGAAGTTACAAACAAAACTCTTGGTGTCTGAATCTGAAAGGCAAAAGAAGCAGAAGACTGGCCCTTTGAGTGTCCTTATGTCAGATTTTCCATCATAAATTGTTATTTTTTTACAATGCTATCTGCAATGGCGAATATCTATCCAATCATTTGGAACAATGCATTAATAATACAATACACACCAAAATGCATGTACTGTCACAGTAAAATCATTGTATACCAAATTAATTTTGTGACAATGTCAGATCCAGAAACTGACACAACAAAGTTCCTTGTAATGGAAGCATAACTAAAATGTGTGCAATTGTTTTATTATCAATGTGTTGCAATTTAGAATTTAACATTTGACTTCAAATGTTTTTGTTTCTAATATTTCATCATTGTAATACGCATTAGATTTTTCATTTAAATGTCAGATGCAGTACATAAGTGGTCATATGAATTCTGTGCAATTCTTTTTCCCATACATTCCTATAATAGTATCTGCCAAAGAAAAGCCATATAGAGGCAAATATTAATATGTAGTTCTAGCCAGTAATAAGTGTTTCAATAACAAAAACATTTATTAATTCATTTATGCCTTTTAACACAAGCCAATTAATAGTTGCATATCTGCTATAGTCACTTGAATATTACAGTCATAGAATATGGTAGATCATGCTTGCCTGTCAAAGTAGATTTGTAAAAGGCTGTTTATTTATGCCATTTGTTTCAGTCGTCACTCCTCTAATACTACCATTGATCAGGATCATAGAATCACAAAAATGGATGAATTAGATTAGGTAGAGGTTCTCTCTTCCTTTCCCTGTACCAACCACCCAGGGCATGACAAAGCTCCTTTTTTTACCTATAGCAACTGCTCAACCTAAACAAGAGAGGGATATTTATGCTCCCCTTTCTTTCAGATCATGGATTTCAGCTCCTTTTTGGCACTGTGTGTTAAAGCTGCCCTCTCTTTGGCAGCTAGTGACCACAGTCCTTAATTCTGAGTATGAAAATATACCGTGACTGCTCCTGAGCAAGTTTTTCTATGGAATTGGCCAGGAATACAAGGATCACTGCACCACAAGAGAACATAAATGTATGTATATATAGGTTTCGTTGGATGCCTGCATATCAGAATGGTACCATGGTTACGCAGCAGAAAACAAATATAAATACAATCAAGTTGATACTATGACTTATAATTAATCATGAACATTCCAGATATGAGACTGGATCCAGAACAATATCCAGTTCACTAGTTAGCAGTTCTGGTACTTCTATTCTGCACATAGTTGATAAAATAAGCAAGAGAGGTTCAAATCAGTATCAGACATACAGAATCGATCAGTGAGCGGAAAATTACAGAACTGGGAGGTGGGGGGTGAGGAACAGTATAGAGTTATACATCAGATGTGGTACAGCATCCCTGCCTTCTGACTGGCTGAGATAGTTCATTTCAGTATAATTATGCATAATTCAGGAAATATTTAATTCACGTCCAACTCTTGAGTTTGCGTGGCTTCATACCACAATGATACCATGGATCAAATTCAGCCCTTGAATATGTGTATGCAGTTTCCATCAGCATCAATGGGAATTGCATGCATTTTAATGTAGAATTTGGCTCTGTTTCATTTCACTTTTTAAATAAGGCTATTTCAGTCAGCTATATGAATAAAATAATTTTTACATGCTAGTTGGACAGGCCAAACCTGGTTTAAATATTAAAGAATTGATTCATTTTGTAAAGTAACATTATTTTGAACCAGCAACTCACGTCGGAAGAACAACAGTTCAGATTTCGTAAAACAGAAAATTATTGAATTCCTCGTTTGAGAGGTCCTAGTGTTAACAAGCATGGCTGTTACAAGTCATACTGTAACACAATGTTCCCTACATTTTTATTGTTCAGATAATTTATTAGCTATTTTAAAAGAAGATACGGGAGAAGAACAAATATATCTATGTATAAAAATTACTAGTGTGAATTAATCCAAATTAATTAATTTAGATCACATGAGCTGGTTGTGGAAAAACTGTAATGAAGAGGCAACAATCCTGTACATGTCTCTGAGATACAAAATGGGTCAGGGAACACCTCTCATCTACAATAACCAGCTTACATTTATATTACATTTGTATCTCCACGGCTTCTAAAGTTCTTTACAAACAAAATGGTTTTGCACCGAATCTCTCCCCAACACTACTGCAATAGTAAGACTTCACAGTAAAAAAGGAGGTAAATTATATTATGCAAAAGTGAAGCTCCTTATTGCCACAGTCACTGGATTGCGTTGCACACATTTAGTGTTTTCTATTTCTGTTTTTCTTGTTAATGAATATGTTACTATGGTTTATAGACTGAATTCTCCTTCAGTTACACCAGTTTTACCTCCAATGACTTCAATTATGCTACTGATGATTTACAGTGATGTAAGTGAGAGGAGAATCAGATTCTTTATCACTGGATATATTTTTAATTCTGCTTTTATTTACACTGACACAAATCTCAAATAATGCCACTGATGCTTATGATGTTACTCCAGATTTACACTGTAATAAATGACAGCAAATTTTGATCCTTAACTTTTGCAGTTCTTGACTTTTGAATTTTAATTGTGGAACATTTGCACTGACATTTTTTTTCCCAATATTGTGAGTCTTTCCTGAAAGCAGATAGAAATGTATCATGAAACACCTGACTTCAGGTGTCAGCAATGTTTTATCTAGCACTACCAGCAGGAAGACTGGGGAAGTGGCAGATACAATATGTAACTCTGGGGAAGTCTCACTGAGCTTAAGCAGGGAGAGGAGAAGAGGGCACTGAGGATATGATCATTTGTGTGAGAAAGATACTAAAAATAAATATCATTGTTAATTCCAGCAGGGTTTGTACAGAACCACTTTGATCTACAAATAAATTGATTTTTTTCTAACATTAAATGTTGTAAGACCCACAACTGATTTGATACATTTTAAGAGGATTTACATAATTTGATTGAATATGGCAGTCAGCATGACAACAAAAAAACCCTTTTTTATTTGCCAAGGTTTATTCATAAAGGAAAAGAGGGAGAAATTAAATAGACATAACTTTGGGGCAGAATCATAACAAAGCAGCTGTTTCTAGGGCAGGATTTTCCTGGCACTACAAATTATGAAGTTACTCTTCCAAGGTAAGATTTCCATCACCAAAGTGATTTCATTTTATGTCTAAGGTAGGTTCAGTCTAGCATTTGTACAATGCAGTTCTGTCTTTGCAATAATAAAACTTGCTGTATTTTCCAGTAAAAGTTACAAAAAGACAGCTACATTCCAGATTAGGATTTACAGTACTTTCCAAGACAGGGTCTCTCTAATGCTTTAGCCTTCTGCCTTCTCTAAATCAGGATTCCCCCCCCCCCCCGAAGGTGACACTAATTTATAGTTATCCTGAGACAGAACTTGCCTTCAGAGTAAAATAATACTGCAGAGAAAATCTATTCCTCCAGTAGATTTAATATGAAGAAAATGATCACAAATTAGTTTTTACCTACGGAAATATTGCCCTACAGCTTCCGAGAGACAATTTCTCTGCTGTTATAACTCCACTGACCTTAATTTGGTCCAGAGCTACTTGTTTGTGAGGCATGGAAGACCCATCTCTGAAAAATGACCCTGCCACAGTGGTATTGCTATCAAATGTCAGTGGTGGGATTCCTGCT